AAAAAAAAATTATCCCAATCATTTTCCTGAAGTTTGCAACAGAGATGAAACCTAACACACGCAAAACAAGGTATGCAAGGATTGCCACAGTTCCAGCCAAATGTTTCTTTTATCTGAACCTGATAACTAGTTGACTACAACCAATGTTACCAACCCTTACTTGTCTTTGAGGCAATATCCTCCATGATTACCAACATCTTATCGTTTTCTATCTCAACTTGCTGCATTTCTTGGTAAGATCACCTGAGTTTTTACCCAAATTGCCAAAGCATGTTACTCAGTACCTTTTTTGCAGTATCACATGGGATCAGCAATGTGAAACTTTGCTTCTCTACCTTTCAACGAAGTAGAGTCCATTTCCATTTTAATATAACATTGCAGTATTCATTTACAAAGAAACCTAGAACACTTAATGCTTATGCATTTCAAGAAAACCCGTTTATTTTCTGGTGATATGAACATGTTAAATGAGATTGTTGTCTCGGTTTATCCAATAGAACCCTTAGACCAGGAGTTCAGATGAAATCTGAGGACCAGTATTGTATCAGCATGAACTGAAATTGTTGTGCGTTTACATCCTTGTGAATTGTGAATGTAACAGTGAACAGTTAATTTTTGAGGCAGACACTTATTAGTCATTGACCTTGTCGACTAAAACCAGACTAAGTAATTGAGCGATAGATATCCAATGAAATCTATCAAGAACTATACGAGAAATGAAAAATGCTTGACTAGTTTCCCCTTAGGAGCTTAACTATGTAATTTCAATTGCACAACTAATCTAGTGAGAAAAGTTGCATCTTCTGTTTGTGAGCCCAGTACGTGATTCCTACATCCTAGCACTTGTCTGGTTTGTTGACTGAGTTCAAGGTCCCAAAACTTCGAATATATAGTAACTATAGCCTCAAATAAATGAAAAATGAAAAGAAAATCATTGCAGAGAGAACTTGAAAAGAAAAAAGGAAAAAAAGAAAAGAAAAGAAAAAGAAATCTCCAATCTAGTTCGGAGTCAAAAGTTTATTGTTATCTACAGTTTGAATGACTTGAAATGAAAATTTATTCTCTTTTCATTTCCTTGCGATAGAACAGTGAATGAAAGCCTTGAACTGGCATTGGACGAATGTTGAAATAAGTAGCAAAAGCAAGATAGAGACAAGCTAAACCAACATATATCCTAAACAAGTTGAACGAATAGGTTAGATACGTAAAAATGGCTGTCAGGGAAATTACCACTGTAAAATTCAAGAAGCAATTCAAAGTAGAAAGCTCTGCTTCTGTTCCTTGGTTGGGAAAATGGCCTTGGGATTTGAAATCGGAGAGTAACTGGTCCTTGTGTTTGAAAGTATCAATTAACCAAGCAGTAGCCTCATCCTCAGATATTGGGATCTCCTCAACAGGGATACGCCTCACATGAATGTGAACCTCTGACGGATCCACACCAAAAACATTGTCCAAAAAGAAGGGGCATTGATGCTTGTAAGCAATACTCACGTCATAAACTGCAGTTGCATGTGTAAACAAAGATGTTTGAAGATTCTAGGATTAATTTTGGAAGCAATAACCAAAACAAGAACAGTTATTGATCAAATGAATAGATGATCTGAATTACACATTCCATAGATTCATAGCATTTTTCCAAATTTATCATGGATTATGTGCTTACCACCAGTGTACAATTAAGTTCACAAGATACTTTGCAACACAAAATGAAGCAATAAATTTGTTTAAAAGAACCTGCATCCAAAGTGTGCCGTAGATCTTCCAAGCAAAGACAAAAACCCTTCGTTTTTGGGAGCAACACATTTGACAATACAGGAAGTCCAGCTTTAGCTGCAAAATCTTGACTCCTCCTGCATTTCTCTTCACTGCACAAAACAGAAAACAAACATTTAACATTTTATTTACACAAAAGAATCATTGGATGCTATACCAAGAGAAAAACAAAGACACTGTTTATGCAAAGTCAAAATGACTAATATTGATGTAAGATGCAGAAACAGCTTTTCAAGAAAAAATTCAAAATTTACAAAGATGAACCACAGATAGCTCTACAATGTTAAATTTCTAAGGAAAATAGATTAAGGTTCATTAAGAAAATAGTTTACTTAATAAAAATGAGACGTGTAGCTTAAATTTAGATGCATGTCCATCCAATGGTAAGGAAGATAAAGGAATCAAGAAGTAGTACGTAAAGTCAGTTCCTTCAGGAAAGAGAGCAAGCCATAAGGGATCTTGAGGATTCTTAAAAGTTGAAAGCATTTCACGTAAGACTGGTTCATCAGTTTCCCACTTCCTCTCCACTGAAATGAACTCCAAAATGTGAAATCCCCAACCAAAGACGGGTAATTTCATCAAGCTGCTCTTAAGGATGTATTTAATGTGGCCCAGGCACCCCTTTCTCAATGCAAGATCCCATAGGTACATCCAATCAACCTCAGTTCTGTGATTGGCAATAAGCAAAACGCGTTCCGTTGACGGAACAGAATCCCCAGAGAAAACCACTTTAGTCTTGTTTATTTTTTCAAATAGAAAGGGCCACAAAGCTAGCCAGAGGCCGAAGAGGAAAGCAGTTGTTTTTCTACAGTAATGTAAACTGAACAATCTCAGTATGACAGCAGCCACAGGACCAAAGTACACTAGAAAAATAAAAGCTGTCAATAGAAACACCACTAAACAGGTCAGACCCCTCATAATCCTAAAAGGGGTCAAAGGGCGGTGCTTTAATTTATCATCTGGTTTAAGAGGCCTGCTCACTTCCATCCCGTTCCTGGACTGTTCAAAAATTCTTCCTTCTCAAGACAAGCTGCAATGATGGACCTCAGAGTTACTTTAGATATTTCTGAAGTTCAATAGAAAAGAGAAAAACTTCAGGGAAATAAAACCTGCATACATGTCAATTAAAAGACAAATACTTATATTTGTATCTAACCAAAAAAAAAAAAGAAAAAGAAAAAAACACACAGCCAATCACTTCTAACACTCAATATTATCAAGCAAAACAGAAGATATTCCAATATATAATTTAAAATCAAATGACTTAAGACACTGATTGTCAGTGGCTGAGTGGGTACCAACAGCCTTGAAGAACTTGTTGTCACTTATTCCTAATTTAAATTGCATGTCATTGCACACTGAACTGAGTAAAAGCATGATGCCAGTACTTGCTTCTAAGGTTACAACTAGGTAAGTGTATGCTCTACTGAAGTAAGTGCTCATCTGCAGCGGGCATATTCACTAGTACATGTGCAATGCTTATTCATAATCAGAAAACCTAAAGATGAACTGGTCTGTTAATCTTTTTGTATTCAAAAGAACTCAAACAATTTGCTCTCGATGCAAAGTTTATTTATTTATTTATTTTTCAATTTCATATTACAGCCTTCAACTCTAGGAACATTACAAGTAAACTTTATTAGAAGTATCTGTTAAAGTATAACAATTAACAATTGATTTTTCTACCCAAATAATAATAATAATAATAACAATTGGTTTGGTTGTTTTCCATGAAATCACTGATTATAGTTAATGGCCAAACCCCCAATAAACCCCCTATTTACATTCTAAAAATTATTGTTTTTTGCAATCAACACCCTTCATAATTTAAAAATCATAAAAAACCCAAAATTGCCTATGTCATTTTTTACAGCCACCAGTGAAGCAGGGATACTAGGGAATGGTTAGAGAAACAGCAGATCAAGAAATCAGTGCATCATGAGATTGGCAAACAGTAATTTATCGATGTTAATCTAATTCTTACTGAGTTAATCACCACTAATATTCTTCTTTCCTACCATGTTTTCAACTCTCCTTGTATGCAACACCGAGTTCTCAGAAGTGAAAATACCAAGAAATTACATAGGAATCTCCAACAACAAACAATAGGCAAATTCAGTCACATTCCATATCAGCAATTCAAATCCGAAACTATCATATGAATTCCCTTCCACCAGATAACCAAATCAGCAGAACACCGTGTTCGCCACTAAGCTAATTCTCTACTAATTTTTACAGAAGCATAATCCTGAAGAGATCAGATCTCAAAACTAACAAAATCAACCAGAACTACACACAATAATAATAATAATAATAATAAACTGAGACAACAAACAAACAGCAATCAGAATTACCAGAAAACGAGATCGAATTACTGAAAACGAAGAAGGAAAGACAGCGGCGGTACCTCGAAACAGCGGGAGGAACAGAATTGGAGGAGAAGGAGAGAATGAGAGAAGGAGAAGCAAGTTACCCTGATCCAAGTGAGGTAGTTTTCATGAAAAGTCAATGGAACAGGGGAAATGAAAGCGAATGTGGAGGAGAGAGGAAGGGAAGTATCTATCTACAGGAAATGGTTAGGGAAAGGTCGCGCTCGGCGAAGTTGGAAAGGTAACCCACCGCGCGATTGGTGGGGATAAGGATTGCAAAAAGTTACTTTTAACCATTTAAAATTTAGCTGATAATTTTATATTATAATATTTTTTATTTTTTATTTTATTAAATTTATAGATTTTAATTTTTTATTTATTAAAATTAAAAAAATAATTTTT